CTTCTTCTGGGATGTTGGGGCAGGAGAGAGGTGAAGAAATCGGACAACACCTACACTGAGCCTCGCACCGGGTGGAGAGCAAGCCTTGTAGGCCTCGAGATTTGGACCGAGGAGGTCTTGGCATAGCAGATGGACTGCATTCTCATCCACCAGTGTTCACCAACATGGAGTTGGGCTGGTGGCAGGCGACTCGACGCACAGCGCACACCAACGAAGCACTCACAGTGCACACAAACACGTCCTACCACTTCAACCACAGCACGTCGCGTCCAGCCATGCACGAAGTCACACAGAGCAGTTGCAGGTGTCAACTCACTGGTCCACTGCCGCAGAGTGCGGTCGACGAAGACCTCAGATCAGGCGAACGCATTGTCGTGTGGATGTCGAGGACTAGACCCAACTCATCATTGGGAAAGTCGCAGAGGCGCAATTGTGGAGTGAGCACAGACCACTGCCGCAAGAATTGTGCCACATGCTTCCAATGATCTTCGTCTGTCCGAGCAGTGAGTTGTCGCGCGCATTGTCACCAAATTGTGGGCAGGTGTCAAGAGGACACGGATCAGCATTAGTGAAATCGTGACATCAGTGTGCGATCATCACACTGGACTCGGAGTCATTGCACCGTAACGAGAGGCAACATGAGAACCTCAAGATGGTCTCAACCTTTTCCCCTCCCCCACCCCCCCCCACACCTTCGGGCAAAAGAAGAGGAGTTGGATGGTAGAAGCATTGTTTATTCACCGTAGGTTGGGTGGTGAAGTACTGCTTGTGAACGTGTGTGCGTTTCGCGTAGAGGTGTAGGTGCAAAGGGAGGAATGAAGAAGGGAAGGAGTGAGGGGATGAGGGGAAGGCGAGACAACGAGACAATCACAACGACGTGGATGACAAGTGAGACGAGACGAGACGAGGAGAGTCGAGGTGGGAGGAGGAGGTGAGAGGAGGAGACTGCATCATCATCATCATCATCATCCCTCCTCACTGCAACTGGAATGAGCAAAACACCTGACGTTTGCCCACAGGCAGTGGTGGACGAAAGTTTTCCGTCGTGTTGCACGACTCGCACAAGTGCATCGAGCGCATCGCAGCCAGCTGAAGGGAGTGAAGACGTAGGCATTGTATGCACCTCGAGAGGATGAATAATTTAGCAGCCGTAAGGGACAACGATAAATGGGATGGAGGGGAGGCGAGTGGAGTGGAGTGGAGTGGAGGGTAGGAAGTAATTGTTACGCGGAGACGAATGGAGCACACTGCAGGC